GGGCATCCGACCGATAATTCATGGAAGAGCTGGCCAAGACGTGCACAGTCGCACACAGGGCCATCACGAATCGTACACGGCTCAAGGAGATCTAGAGATGATCGATCTACTCTTGTTAATCTCGAATCCGATCAACGAGGCACGACAAGAACGTAGTGTGATAGTCGTTGTTCTGCCGCTGTGGCAAGATCAGGGAACTGACGAATATGAAACTCAAGTGTGCGCACAAGAGTCGCTGCATCGGGCTCCTGAATACTGTCTCATCGCTAGTACCACGTCTGTGGGCCTGCCTTGACCATAGGTCCGGTAAGGACATGATGGGCAGGCATGGTCTATGTCGAAGAGACAGTTGGGCGAAAGGGAAGATGGAGCTGAGCAAGATCGCTTCACGAAAGGCTTGCGGAGATGGACGTCGTTAAAGGGCGCATTGAAGAGAAGAAATTTGGACGAGTCCCGTGCCGCGGTATACCAGAGGTGTCGGACCGCTGACCCTTAAACAAGGCTAGTTTTCCCAGCCACGCATTGCCTTGGTTCCATGCTTGCAGTCGCGGCTTGCAGCTACGCGCCCCGCGGCGCAGTACCGGTGGTCTTGTAGTCGTGAGAGGCATGCCAAAGTCACTCGCACCTGCTTGTATAAGTCAAGCTCTTTTGCGCCGAGTAAACACCGGGTAAATGCCCCGCGTTCAACCTCCATCTGGGGTTCCGTAATCAAATGCAATTTATTTGAACAAATAGCAATGTCTCAAATATATTGATGAATGTTCTATGCATGTTCTTCCGGATCGTTTTGCGATGTCGACTTCTTACAGCGAGGGTCCGAAACAAAGTCGGCCTTGGTATTGAGGCCGAGGCCAAGCTTGCAGCCAATGACAGACACAGCCGCCAGATTCATTGACGATGTTTACTACATTGAGGCTCCTCTACTTGTGATATTGCGGCTCTGGTGGTCCGCGGTATCCTAAATTACTATGTGCATACAGGACCTTTGACACGGGAAGACTCTTTGGCTTCACTTGATTACTGAGGTAGGTATATATAGGTTCTGAGTTTGCTTTCCTGTATGCATTGCACCTCACTCTCTCAAGATCACACTCCCTTGGTCATATCACAATGGCACCTTACGCTCTCGTTGCCGCTGCTCTTTTGGGTTTAGCCACTGCTCAAACACCAGGAAGCACACCGGAAGTTCACCCCAAGCTTACCACCTGGAAGTGCACCAAGGCTGGAGGATGCAAATCTCAGAACACTGCTGTTGTCACCGACTCAGCGGCTCATTGGATTCACCAGAAAGGCAACTCAACACTGGGTTGCGGAAGCTGGGGAAGTGGAGCTGATCCAACAGCCTGCCCTGATGAGGAAACGTGTGCCAAGAACTGCATCATGGAAGGCATTCAAGACTACTCAACGATGGGTGTGTACACTAACGATGGAGAGCTCCGCTTGGACATGTACAACCCCAGTGGCGGAGCTGCGAGCCCTAGGGTCTATGTTCTCGCGGAGGACGAGGAGAACTACGAGATGTTGCAACTTACGGGTAACGAGTTGGCCTTTGATGTCGACATGTCGAAGCTGCCATGCGGCATGAACGGCGCCTTATATCTCAGCGAGATGGAAGCTGATGGCGGACGTTCTCAGCTCAACCCAGGCGGTGCCACCTATGGTACGGGATACTGCGATGCTCAGTGCTACGTCACTCCCTGGATCAATGGTGTAGTAAGTACAAACCTCCCCTTCGTTTGATGTTTCTGACTCTTCGTAGGGAAACGTTAAGGGACAAGGTGTTTGCTGCAACGAGATGGATATCTGGGAGGCCAACTCTCGTGCCAACCAAATCGCGCCTCATACTTGCAGTACAGCCGGTGTTTTCGGTTGCACCGGCGACGAGTGCGGGAAGGCTGGCTTGTGCGACAAGAATGGATGCGGAGACAACCCGTACAAGCACAGAAACTCCCCAGACTACTATGGTCCTGGCCTCAAGGTCGACACCACTAAGCCCTTCACTGTTGTCACCCAGTTCCCAGCCAAGGATGGCGTTCTCCAGGCTATCGTGCGAAAATATGTCCAGGACGGTGTTGTCATCGAGAACGCCATGCAGAACATCACCATGGACCAGGAGTACTGCTCTGCTCAGCCCGGCGCCGAGATGTACACCAAGCTTGGTGGCCACAAGGGTATGGGTGACGCAATGGCTCGCGGTATGGTTCTCGCGCTGAGCATCTGGTGGGATGAGGGTGGTGCTATGCAATGGCTCGATGGATCTGTGAACGGTGCTGGTCCTTGCAACGCGACTGAGGGCTTCCCAGAGGCTATCCGACAGATTGAGAAGGCACCTACAGTCACCTTTAGCCAGATCAAGTGGGGTGAGATTGGGTCTACGTTTGCTGAGAAGAACTCTACTGCTTTCCGTTGGAAGGCGTAGAGAGCGATATCGGTAGATGACCAATCAATATATATGTTAGCTGCTTCTTGAGGGACCGTGCTCGGCTACACCTATCCTGTGACGAAGCGGTCGCATTCCATTCGCGAGTGTTGCGATGGCTTCGTGCCGATTGAGGGCGTGTGACCTTTATCAGCAAGCATGACTTTGCACATTGCTATCACGTTGTTGCGCAACAAGATGATGACTCAAACGTCCATTCAGTGTGTTTGCTGAGACCAGAATGCGAGGTATGCGAAGAGTGACAATATTGCCGGATAAATGTGGGGACAACCGATTGACGCACTAGGCCCTTCATGGATCACCGGACCCATATTTTGACTCAACCATGGCTCAGCCCTTCTACATTCCTCCACCCTGCCTCAACCTTGACTATTCGCAGTAAGAAAAAGCGACACGCCCTTCCAATGCACATGTTTGTAACATTCTTGACTCACATGCATCGTACTTACGTACGTACTGGCGCGGCTGGTCGGTCTGCGAACAGAAATGGGGATGGCACGAGAAAACGCCAACGGTGCATGAGTGCTGTGCGCCATGAGAGCTTGGTAATGTAGCTGATGACTGTGCTGCCCATGTTTTACAGTGATGCTTCTTCCATGGTCCAGCAACGAGTATAAGAGTGAGGAAATGGTTTCACTGTTGTCGACCATCAGCAAGCAAACACCCACGCGTCGCACACCATCACAATCATCAAGACGTTATATATTTCTCTGAACCTCATCTCTCAAAGCATCTTCACATCCACCTTGACTCATCCGAAGCTCACCACCTGCTATCATCGAATAAACGGATACCGGTTAACATACCACACTCTCGACCATGACATCAACCAACCGAGCTAGCTCAAGCACACCATCCAAGAGCGACGCCATGTCAACAACGTCAAATACAACAATGGCATCCACAAAATCCCTGCTTCGATCGATACTCCCACACAAGCAGTCGAAGGAGGCTGTTGAGCCGAAGAAAACGGAATCACCAGAGGAGAAGGCGAAGCGAGACCTGAACCACGCGGATGCCCTCTATCATTCGGCTCAATACAAGTAGGAACAAAGACCTTGAGTCTTAATATCGGAGATACCCTAACCATCAGCTGAATACAATTCACCTGTTTTAATTTGGCTTTCGCGCTGGGCAGTAGTCCTGAGAACATGCTTCTAGGTCAGCATGTAGAAGAAAATTAGTATTCTGTTTCATTTTTGATGAGTCGGTGGACCTGTAGTTGAATCTAATTCGTGGCGTTTCAGTTTTGAGTTCCTTTCTTCTTTGCCCTGACATGAGTGACGCGAAATCACTGCAACTCACTGGCACACCGAGTGCCTAACGATGATCATACACTACCATGGTCATGTGCGGTTCAGCGATTCGTTGCATTAAGCTCGCACCACAAACAGCTCTCGATACCTACCTGCACCCTATAGAATTATTTCACTTGCGACCTAATATCGGGGTGAAGGTGAGTTGTAACAAAGCTACCTGAATGGACTAGTATTTGAGATGCTCAGGCGTCCACCAAGCCTCATTTTCTCTCTCCACAACACCCATTTAATTTCAATTTACGGATGGGAACGAGAAACTCCACTGATTGAACGCGAGAATAAAGACAAATCTAGCATCCGAATTCTACATACATCCATTCGAATCAACATGGACAGTCTCAAGCGCGCCCGGGTAATCAAAAGTGAGATCGAGAAGAACATCTCCGTCCTCACGCCTGAGGACAAAAAGGTCAGCACCCGCCGCAACGACGACGAAGATCCTGAAAACGTCGCTATAAAGAGTCTGCGTCAAGAGCAAAAGTGGTCTTGGAACGAGATCGCCGACCACCTCAACCAGGAGCGCCTTAACAAGGGCGAAGCAGCTATCTTCACAGAAACGGCCGTCTACAGTCGCTATGTCCGTAATGCACCTCGCGTTGCGACATCTATCGGCGAGATCGGTTTTGACCCAAAGGATTACATGCACCTTCGCAATCCGAATCAGTACACTCAGGCTCAAGGAACAGGAGTCATCAGCAAGGCGGGTAAGAAGCGCATCAAAGACTACGACAACGCGACTGAGCTCAAAGCCAACATCCGGCAGCCAGTCACTGCAGAGCTACAGGACAAAGGTCTGGAGGAGGTAGAAAAGACTGAGCAGCTCATGAAAGCGGTAGCAAAGTGCGAGCGCAACTTTTGGAAGTATGTCGCGGATGAGATGGAGAGGGCGACTACCAAGATGTACGATCCCGAGGAGCTGGCGAGTCGCTTTCATGCTATTTAAGGTGGTTGAAGAGTATGCTCTTCTTCCTGTCAGTGCGCCACGTCCAGGTGAAGCAATTCGGTGGTATATGCGTTATGGGAAAGGATAAGGCACCAGCTCGGTCGGAGTAAGCTGAAATTTAGTGATGGATACTTCAGTTCATTAACGGATCTTGATACACACTGTCTCTCGATACTTTCAGAATGGCCAAAATATGTATTGGAAGTTTATTTACATCCTGGGTACGGTCCATACTTTCTATCTCCACTATCACACTTGATACACCTCAGTTGCCAATCTCATCCCCCATAGAAGGGACCTAGCAAGTGAACGTAGGGGGACCAGGGTTGGTGTAGCTAGTGGGAATTGGGTAGTTGATGTTAATCAAGATACCTGGATCGGTAGCCTTGTACGCGCCAGGAAAGGCGACGAGGTTCGAGGGTGCCTTGCTACCACCACCAGTAACCTCAAGTTGTCCGCAAGAAAGGTAGAATTGCGCTCCACCCTTGCTCTGAGCGGTGTGAATGGCGATGTGCTCGTTGCGCATCAGGTACTTTCCGGGTGCAATGCATTGGGGGATCTTGATGTCGTAGGTGGCAGCACCTGTGCGCACAGCAGTCAGTAGACGTCAGTAGAGGGATGGAAATGCACATCACTTACTCAACCATGTCAACTGAGAGCCGAACTTGGGTTGTTCGGCATAGATGCGGAACCAAACAGCGCCAGTAGGGTCCCAGGTGTTGATGTCTTGTCCTTCCGGTACCTTGGCGAGGTATGACTGGAAGGGTCCAGGGTGGTACGCGTTGGGATTGACGCTGACCTTGACACTTGAACCCGCAGCAACACTGAGAGTCGACGTGCCGGCCTTGAGCTGATTGCAACGAATGTCATTGCTGGTCACATCACCAACGAATCCATTGTCTTGCCAGTTCTTGGCTTGGCGGACATGAGACCAGGCTGCGTCGCCGTTGAGACTTGGGAGCGTGTCTTCGAGTAGTTAGCTTCGGCTGATAGAACAAACGTAGTGCAACAAAGCGTACAGTGAGCGCTGGCCAAAGAAGCGGCGGCGAGTATAACGACGGATGTTTTCATCTTGGCAAGAACTTTGGCTGATCGTCAAAATGAGATGCAATGGATATGCAGTTGGTACCGGCATATCGATCACTCCCGAGCGAGATATATACTTTGTCGTGCGCCATGGGCTTGCTCATTCGCTACGAGATACCCACCGGCAATAAAGTCGAAGGAGCCGTTAACATCACGAAAGACCCGAATGTTGAGCGCGAGATGATGGTAAACGAAAATGTACTGGATGAAGCCAAGTGTTGCATAGATTGCGAAAGATGAACACAATATATTTGGTGTGAGGCTGCTACCAGTAGCACAACGCTAGAGACGGATGCCACTTCCGATCTGGATTGCGACCAATAGCAGCACTAAGCTTGCTTAAAATGTCCAAATTACCCACGTCATCGCCATGGATCTGGCACTTTACATTTTATGAGAGACGATCACACGCTTACAAAGGCAGAAGTTGATTCTCTATATGGTAAACTCGGCATGCAGGCCAACCGAGCTTGCCAGTGCCGGGTGTCGATGCCGCTCTTACACGAACACACAAAACCGGGTTGGAGGTTTACAATATCTCCGAGACATTATGGGCATCGTATCTTCTCTGTTTGAACTCGATGATCAACCTGCGAGGCTGCAAACTATGATACGCGAATTCTACACATGTCCTCTGGTCTCCACGTCGCTGTCCTGTCTCGCAACATACTTGCCCTCGTCTGCCCCCGTCACAACCGCCATATCTTCATCAGCGGCCACGTCAAAGTTCCTTCCTCTGTATTCCGGACCCAATGCCGTGAGCAAGATGACGTACGCATACACACAGCCCATGAAGATGCAGATCACCAGACCATACTTGTAGCGGCTCGTATGGCCCTTGGGCGGAAGTGGAAATCTTTCACCAATCGTCGCTTCGATGGTCGATGAAGCAGAGGACGCAAGGTTACCAAGTTGATATGATGTACCGACAACGAACGTTCGAAATGATCCTGGGGACAGCTCCATTAGGTGGATGGGAATGACACCCCAAGCGCCCTGGACACAGAACTGTTGGAAGAAGGCTGCTGCAATGACAGCGTTGCTAGAGGTGAATGTGTAGGGGTAGAGCAGAGCGCCGCCAATAACACACATGACAATTATGCTGATGCGACGACCGAAGATAGACGAACTATATCCGATGACGGTGCCACCAGTCATAGCGCCAAGGTTGGCGACTACTTGTGTGACGGTAACCCTATTGGCTGAGAAGTTGTATTGGTTGCTCAGCATTGTCGGGTAAAGGTCCTGACTTCCATGAGACATGAAGTTGAAACCCGCCATCAGCAACACAAGATAAACAAGTAGAAGCCAATGGCGCTTTAGTGCGACCTTGCCTTCCTGGGCGAACACTTTGGCGGCGTTGGGTTGTTCCTCGCGGATTCGCTTGCGCTCGAGGTATGCTTGTGTCTCGGGGAGACAGAGTCGGAAGATGATGATTAGGACTGGCGGGCCGGCACCAAACCAGAATAGTGGTCTCCATTCGTGACCGACGGTATCTACGAAGGCGCGGGCAAAGACAGTGGCAAGCAAGTAGCCAAACGCATATCCTTGCTGTAGCATCCCGGAAATGATACCACGAGCTTGTTCAGGACAGTCAGAGTTGCTAACAATCAATCCAAACTGATGAGACTGACTGACTGACTGATTGCTTGGCAGTCAGTTCAGTGTCAGTTTAGAGCTCTCGTCTTATCAGTCAGTTCAGTTTAGAGCTCTTAAACTGA